GCAAAAACCCGATCCTTCCCTATGTAGGAAGTGTGACGTGACAGAGGGCGCTAGTCACTGGCACGGTGCAGAGTTATAGATGGCGCCCTGCCCAGTAACAGAGGCAGATGTTAGGCACGCATAGCTGTGTGATAAGCAAGCACGGCGCATAGGCTCCGCCTTGTGCGTTGTGCGATAGGGCAGCCGAAGTCACTGCTTAGTCACGTGAGCGCGTGCGCGGGCGTGGTCAGAGCAGCGCAAAAGCTATAAAAGGCGCACGTAGGCTAGGACTAGTCGTCTTGATAAAGGGCTGATCCCGAGGTATGGGTCAAGAATCCTGTGTAAGGGTTAAAGTCACCTAGCCTAGTGTGACTGTGCCTAAGTCGGAGTGGTGTGTGTGTGTTTGAGGGGTTCGGTAGGTTGAGGGGCTGATTGGTGGTGCGTTATAGTTCCTGATAGGAGCTTGCGGTCGATGCAAGGGCGGATTGCTATCTCGTGACGTGAGTTGCGTGTAGCGCAGCCTTGACATTAAGCTCCATAGACTTGCTAAAGTCCTTGATTTGGCACTGGATGCCCACAATTAATTGTGGTGTTCGCTGCTCTGGGCGAAGTCTGGTCACATATAATTACACAGTCTCCCCGTCAATAGCGCCCTCTACTGGTGTATTGGTTGAGTGCGTTGATGAATAAAGCAGCCGCTTGTTAATTGTTGTATATAAGTCAGGTGTCCAGGCGAAGTTTATTTCAAGTCAGGTCTTGGGTTACGTTATTAAGTTACGACTAATCAGATTAGCCATTATCTCAACGGAGACCAACTTTCTTGGGGGACGGTATACTTAGATCCCAACGGACTCGTCCCTAGCCGCTCAGGGACTCTCCGGCGTGCCGTCCGACACACCGCGCCTCGAGGAGGAGGGCGCCCTCGCCTTAGTCGGAGGCTACATTAGCTCCGGCTAAAGTGCTGTCTACAAAAAACTACATCTTACACAATGCAACTAATGATAGTCTATCTCAAATCAACACACACACGTATCAAAAGACGTGAGGGTGATAGACAGCGTAAGAACGCTTTCATTTACAGTAAATTAAAACATAATGACAATGTTATTACTTAACATTAGTAGTTTACGTGTTCATCCCATGCCAAAGAATTTGAGATAAAAACACCAAGAAACTTGAGCACATAAGTCCTTTCCACCTCCCTCCCTCCCTTCCTGCCTTTAAAACGCGAGGGCAAGCAGTAGGCGAAACGATGGATGGCAGCGCATTTAGTGCAAATTGCGCGGCGCAAACATGTGCTCTCAAAATACTTTCCCTTTTTACTGTGTGGTACTCCTATCTCTTTTTTTCGAAGATTGCAACTGCACTGTTTCGAACATGCATGGGTAAGATGAAGTAAACAGAGGGTTTTGTCACAGCCGAAAAATGACTAAATTCCCCATACCGAGGGGCTGAAGTTGCCCACGCTTTTGGATTTATTGGGTGCCGTCTCGGCACCCTGCCGTTGTTTTGAATAAGATATACCCAGCAAGAAATGAGACTGAGGGGTACCCCCGAACATGTCCAATCCCTATACACATTTCAGACTATTGTTACTTAACACATCCCCCCAAGATGTCTGAAAGGAATCCCCCAGATTCCTGCGAGACAATGACCAACACAAAGCGGGGGGGGGGATTCTCTCCATCTCATATCTTGCTGCATATGGAATAAGAGCTGTCCGTCTATGGATTTATATATCAATGTATTCGACAGTCATGCCAGCGAGGAACACCCCGCGACCACGTTTTTGTTCAATGCTTCATATCCACGCCAGGTGTCGGGATTAAGAAGTATTGCTGATTGACTATATTATGCGCATGGTGTGTAGTCAAATTCTGGGGTACTTTTCCAATTTATTTTTGTCTAACTGCACCTGTGCAAATTATCGTTGCGGACCCGTGTCTAAGGTGATGCGCACTGTATTTTTTTTTAATTCTCATATTAACGAATGCATGCATATGAGACTGGTTGATCTGATCTTTGCATTTCTTCTGTTTCCGGGTACCACACGAAACGTCCAAATCCAGAGAACATTGTGTGTCGATTACAATGGCATATTGCCTTTTAATACGGACCGTGTTTTAATTTTAGGTGACAAAATCAAAATTAAATAACAGTTTGGATTACAAAATACAAATATCAGAAGTTACATCCTACATGCAAACGAAGCTCCAGCATTTGATATGACGTAGGAATGTAGTGTACAAACGATGGAAGTACCATTATTTTGTGGTTATTTTTTAATAAAAATGTACACCAAAGTGGAGTTTCTTTTGAAGCCTACTGTTGATAAGTTACACCTGCAATAGAATAGACTGAACAATGTTGTTCACCACCCGTGGTAACCATAGATTTACTGTAATAAATATAAAGATTAAGCAATCTCCCATAAATACAAATATACAAACAGTGCTTAAAGTTTAATAAATAAGCGTAGATAAATACTTGAAGTGAGTGCTTTCTCAACGATAAGACACTTGTAGATTCTAAATGCCTCTAACACAGAGTACTGATTGCTGCATGTTAGCCCCATTTCGCGCCATTTTTTACATTACATACTTCTGTATGCTACCTTCCTATAATTCTTCTTCTAACATGACAACGTTGATCAACATTAAATGAAATGTCAAACATACAGCACAAATGACTGTAGGAACTGGTTAAAACAACACATTAATAGCACATTCTTAGCAACAACATCTTTCGCATGCTGTTCGGGAAAGAAACAACATGATCGCCTGACAGTTATTCCCACTTCCAATACCACCTTGTCGCCGATAGTGACGTCACCTAGTACCGCTTGTGCACGATCACCTTGAAGGGTTTGGGGGAGCGCGCAGCCTGAATCTCAGGGTTTTGCTCAAGGAGAGGCTGGTCTTGCTGCTCGGGAACCTTGCTGAAGGTGTACCGCTGGAAGAGCCAGGAGTAGACGAGGAAGCAGATGACCTCCCCTTGGGTCTTGCCCAGGCACTGACGGTGCCCGATGTTGAAGGGAAGGTAGCTCTGGGAATGCTTGATGGAGCCATCCTCCTTCAAAAAGCGCTCTGAAAGGAAAAATACTGAAACATGAGATTCAACAACTGCAAGAATGAAGCTATTCAAGAACTTTAATTTGCTGCCAACAATTACAATATATATTATTATTACAATAATGTACAACGGTCTAAACCTCATACACTTAAATTGCAGAGACACCAGGAGGCCCCTTTATCTCATGGGCTTGAGCTGTTGCATTTGAGAAAGATTCAACAAGGATCCAAACGGTAATTCCTCTTCGTATTTTAAGTTTGAAATGTCTGTATAGTTAGTTTTTACAGTGCTGAGCTAAATGTCGATTCTAAGCCCCCTGAAGCTGGCGAATAAAACTGAGGACTGGGGCAGTATAGAACTGCAAATGCAAGACAAATAGCAGAAACAAAATGGACAAGCTCGAGTTGGGATGAGCGAGCAAGACAAACAGCATGAGGGCTTGAAAATAATAATATTCGAGTTCTTCTCACCTGGTTTAAACTTTAAAGGCTCCTCAAAGTTCTTTTCATCAAAATGAACGGCGTACATGTTATACATGACAGGTGTCCCTTTAGGAATTCGGTATCCACCTACATATTAGAAAAGAAACCACATCACGACGAATTAGAAAGTGCATTCAGTTTTAAAAAGATTAATGAAAGAAAATAAAACGAATGACATGTATAACTGATAAACAGCTTTGAACTTTTGTTCTTCTGAGACATTTCCTGACATCACCTGTTTATCTTTCCTCATTTCCTTGTACTTGGCCTGTCAGGAAGTGATAAAACAACACCATCGAGATCCTGTCTTTATGTTTGAAACACTTGGTTGTAAGGTCTCCGAGAAGAGTATTTTCCATCAAAGCAGGAAGTAGGGAGAAGTTAACACGATGTCATTTTGAAAGTGTCAATGATCCATTATTAACACTGTATAATACTCACGGAAGTGGACGTCACGAGTGGCAGTCCTCGGCACGCCAATGGGAGCAGCGGACGCATATCTGAGCGCCTCCATCACAAGGGCTTCCACGTACTTCAGGGCGCTACGGTCGCTCAGGGCAGGCATGCGGTCGTGGCCAACAGCGCTCTCTACGACCTCGGCGACTTTCTCTTGCAGATGTGGATTTTCCGTCATGCAAGCGAGGGCCCAGTAGCTGCTGTGTGAAGTCCCAATGCCGCCTTCATGAGTACATGCAGATGAAAACAACTCGTAATTAAAATAAACAAAAAAATCCTTCTAGTTTTGAAAAGTAAATTGAAAAGTAGCAAAGCATAAATGCCTTGATTTTTAAAGTTAAATGATGTTGAGGCGACAAAAATTTGAGACAAAGTTTCACAATCATTCGGCGTAAAATTCAGCAAACAGGTGTTTCGACAGAGTTGACTCCTGTTGTTAGTGAAAATGAGAAAAGGGTCATGAATTCGAGACACCACTTTCACTTTTTATTGAAAGGATGCACGCTCCCATGAAGCACACTGATAGGTCACTGAATGCTACTTTCAAACCAACTTAAGAAAATTAAAGTCTCCCATTGCTTCTCACACGCCCCATAGCGATATTTCTGGACTCACAAAGGCATAAATGCACCTTACAAGTAAAAAAAACTTGTAAAGCGTACTTCATTTACCGCAGTATGATGCCTGTATTTTATATATATAGGTTTTCTGCATCTAAGCAGAACACTGAAGTGGTAATTTTTCATTACGGAAATCAAGTTTTATCTCATGGTTTCGTTTTTGTACGTCTGAAAGGATGTCATTCAAAGAGCACCCTTCCACATCTAAAGCATTCAAATCCTACGATGATGTACCTACCTCCAACAAGGATGTTGGCAACGGTTTGTGCAATGTGAGTGTCCGAGAAGAAGTCTAGATCCGTGTCGCCGTTGTCTTTGGCTTCCTTCTGGGCTCTGATCAGCTCATCGATCATGTCTCGAGTGTTCGCTGTTGTGAAACGGAGGGTACACCAGGAGATCAGTCTAAGATTGTACCGTTCGGGTCAAAGGAACTTGAACATCAGTTTTTACCGTGGCATTTGCCAGTACAGACATTTCTCAAGATGGCTGTAAATGCCACTCTGATTTCACGGTAAGTTTAAGCTTTGAGATACCGTTGCGCTGCTGAGTAAGATGTTTACTGGTACTGGGTTACATGCACTAGTCTGTGACGAGTCAACAATCCTTCGAATTAAGAAAACACAAGTAGTATTTTTCGCAATACAGTTCCCTGCGAGCTACCGTGCGCTGGGCCGTTGAGCGGTGACTCATCTCAAACGCGGCTCTGCTTGATATATTGTAAACTTAAAAAACTAATATTACAACATTCTCCCTTTGATGTATGCATGAAAGAATGTATGTATGTTTCGGTGTTTTGACGTTTCTGCGATATTATATTTCGACGAGCACTTAGGTGCACTCACCAGGGTCATAAGTGTCCTTGTGACGCTCAACCTCAGCACCGATGAGTCCGTTGAACTCGGTGCTAACTGCCTTGATGAACTTTTTCTCTTTGTGCGAGAAATGCTTCATCCATGAGAAAGCGTCAACAGCCATCCGCTTGCCGATGACCAGCATGGCAACATCTCCCGGTATCAGGCGCATCATCTCCTCGTGGATATTGTCGTTTCTGGTCGGTGAAACACAAAAAGTGGGCCGTATATTTAGCATGCTTTAATGTCGGAATGTGGGAAAAAGCGGCTTTCCGTGATTTACACTAAAAATGGATTACTTCCTACACTTTATAATGCGCTCTCTGCATCGTAGATAAGTACTGGTGACCAAGTCGACGAACAAAGAAAAGCACAGCACTAATAAACGACATAGTACAGAAATGACAGGCTTCAGAACAGGAAAAAAAAGCTCAGACATTCAAGTTGCTAACACTGGCTTTACATGTTACGGAGGTCACAAACCTGAGGCCACAGCTTTTAGATATGACTGTACTTTACAGGGGACGCAGAGAGGGCAGTGCTCTTGTAACTGCGCGAACGAACATTAGATTTTTCATAATCATCATACTGAGTACTCACTCGTATCCGAAAGACAAACGTGTAAGGACGCCCAGAATAACCAGGTCAATGATGTAAGTCGCGTTGACTTCCTGACCAAGGCGGGCGTCTAGGTACTCTTCCAGCGCGCCCAACCGCTCGTGCACAATGGACTCTAGTCTGGTTCCACTGGTGAAATCCCTAATTTAATAATTAAAAAAAAATGGTCTCCTCGTCAAATTGCTTTTTGGGACAAAAATTTGAATTTCAACATGGACTTAGAATACATGTTCATTCATGTACTTGTTTTTCAATTTTTGTTAAAGAAATATATTACAGATGTATTTATTTTAAGGAGTAAGGGGATTTTGATCAATGACTGTGGGTTCATGGATACTTGGTCATTGGCGTCCTACGACAATTGACGGATGCTTTCATTCGGTTGGTCTCTTACCTGAGTGACTTGGTGAAAAGTCGACGGTGATGTTTCCATTCCGGGGAATAATCGGTGAATGAGATGTCCTTAAATCCTTCAGTGAGTCTCTCCGCTGTTGGCAAGGAAATAAATCGAAGGAAAATCCGTGATTAACAGACTCTATTCACAGGGAAGTCATTTTTTGATTTCGTCGTCAAACTCTGTCCTATTACCTGTGATCTGTTACATGGGATGGCGCCAGACGATTTTGTGCTCCCTCAATTTCATTTTTTTAAACTGTGTCTTAAAACATTTTGAAGCATTTCATCACAATTTTTCAATTCTTCATCAGCATAAATGACATAAATTTATACTGAAGTTTTTGCTCAGTACTTTCAATTTTAATTCTCAGGTGCCAATACAACAATGTTCACCTCGCTCACAATTCAATGTGGGCGACTTCTGAATAGGGTCAATTCTGAAATCTGCCGATAAGCCTAGGTTCAATTTGTCGTGACGACCCCAGCGACTGAATCTACCTCAACCTTGATCCCCAACGTTTTGACGTATCTAAGGGCTGACAACGGTCAGAAACTTATGCGCTATAAAGGACTGCGCCCAATCTTGATTCGTTGGTCATTTTCCGTACATCGAATTTGTTTGTTTGTTTTTTCTGAGCTCTACTCTTTAACTTCCGAAGAGTGAAAATTCTGTCCACTCGACTGTCTCAAACTGAACCTAGGGACAAAATATATTCGAGTGAGATTCAATCTATAGAATAGATTTCACTCGGGTTTATACTTGAAGCAGTTCTCATATTCAACCTAAATTCAGAGTGATTTTCACTCTAAAATGTCCTATAAAACTCCAGATTCAGAAAATTTGCGACACATCTCCCCATGCCATTTAGCATGATAATCTATGAGAAAAAGGCGCAAGTTGTATGAACTTGAACAACACTACGATGGTGACTAGATATGAAAACATGTAAGAGCCCTATTTACTTGCATATTTGGAGAGTTACAAGTATGCCAGCGGCCAGTCAGCCACGCGGTATTCAGTTTGGTTTGTGACGATCGTTGACAGTATATAACCTTGACCCATCTCAAATATAGTCTATGTATCTGCAACTGCTCGGCAATCAAGCCTGCCTTTGGGTTCTTTAACAGAGAAGCTGAAAATATTGTGGCTGTTGTACTACGGTAACCATGGGCTTAGCGAGGGGTGGACAACGGGACAGACAAAAGTATTTAAAAAATGAGAAATGAAAAAAAGCTGAAGAAATGTAACAAAAAAAAAAGAAGAAAGGGGTGGAGAGTACAGATTTGCCTAAAAAGGCCTAAACATATAGATCCAGCTTCACTGTTAACGGTTTATCCAAGTGCTCTGCTCCATCAGAAACTCTCCCCTGGAAAAAAAAGTCGTTTACCCTCCCCCGGAAATCAATTCTGATGACACGTTGATTAACGATGCGTCTATTTATGCAGGTGTTGAGTTTCGTTTTCTATTCTAACGTTCACAGGTGGGCTCTGCGTTTTGATACGAATAGCGACGAAGAACAGGAGTTGGATAAATTCCTGTGCTGTGATGCGTGAGAGAAGCGGGAACCACGGACTATGAGCTGCCCCCGAGTTTACACGCAAAACAGCTATGCAAATAGCCAATCATTCTGACAAGTCACGAATTCACCGTGGCAAGAAAAAGAAAGGACAAAAGCATTTGAGGTTCATCCAGTTGGATGTGTTTGTTCTTCATATATGTATAATCGCCATATAAAACGGAAGTGTCTGGCTTCATGCGGACTCCATGATCCAGGGTTAAACGGAACTGATACCCGGAAGTGAACGTCATCAACTTCCGTGGCGAACCGGCCTAGAATCGGTATCCCTGCCCCGTACTATGGGTGCAGGTGTTTACTTGAGGGTCAGTCTGGCTTGGAGCGTTCACAGAAGAGGTCTTTGGTCTGATATCCGCTGCTATAGAAAAACTGCATTATCTGAAAGCTATCCAAACATGGCAGAACATGCGAACAGAGCGGCGTCATCTCTGTAGTACATAGTGCGTGAATAAACTAAAAATGTGACGTCACTTCCTTTTTTTTTTCGAACCGAAGAGTGAGATCGTTACCGAGTGGAAAAAACACACGATCCGTTGTGGTCAAATTCTCTGCTGTGCACTGTTTCACTGAACGGGTGAGGTTTTCGCATTACACCAGGTACTGGTGTCGTCTCATACCCCAACAATTTCATTCTCATTCAAGCAGAGTCGCCTCCGTAATTGAACAAAGAGGCCAAGAATTGTGAAGGACTCTGGCATTATTAGGCTAGCTGTGTTACGTTTGGTAGGATTAACAAGACTGAGACAGAATTATTTCCAAATGCGATCCCTGTTTCTCTGCCAGGCAATGTAACAGTTAAAGAGAATCAGCCTCAGTTCAGTGGTGATTGTACAGACATGCCGACGCGAAAATCCACCTTTCTTCCTAGTCTTCAGAGAGGGCCAATGACAATCTGCTAAATGCGATTTAAGGCTTAGCACAAAGAAGAGCTGGAGAGCGATTAACGATTAGTTGATGTGCCACTGAAGATGGATAGAGCTATGGCCAAAATGTCAAGATAAAACTCCTAGTTCTCATCAGGATTAGTTTGATCTTTTTGCATGACATATCCGCATACCATTCCAAAGTTATGAAGCACTGACTTTCAAAACAACTTTGTGCCTGCTGCTGGTTGGAACCGTATGTGTTCTCCCACTGAGGATGTAATAGCAACTTCAAAACACATCAACTTTATTAAAAATACTTTCCCAACACTCACTTGAAAAGAGGGGCGGTCTCCCGGCAAACTCCTCGGCCATGTCAACGAAAGCTGACCTGATCAGTTCAGTGCTGTTCAGGACCAAAAACCACTCATCACCCAACTTCAGCGAGTACATGTCTCCATGTTTCTTAGCCAGCTCTGTGCACGCGACATACGGCTTGTCAGTGCCCGTTAGAACTGGAAAAAGAATTCAAAAGAAAGTTGAAAAAGCCTGATGTGTACACGTATCTCAAAGCACTGCATTGAACCTCACCGCTAGGGTTAACTGATCTTAACAAGGGGGGAAATCTTAGTACAGGTACTGAATTAGTGGTTAACTCACGCGGAATGTTCCCGAGCAGAGGTACTCGGTGGGGTCCCCCGGGGAAATTGGGCAGGCGCCGGTGGTGACGACGGTGTTGGTGCGTCATGGACACGATGGCAGCGACGAGGCAAATAGTGGCAAAGAACAGGGCCAGGGTGGTGCCCGTCACCGCCGCACCGGCAACGGCTCCACTTGAGGCTGCAGCTTCTATGATGACCATGGCTAGGATGCTGGATTGTCCTCTGGTTCTGCGTGATAAGACAGGGGTATGGCCGGTACATGTACATGTATACCTGTTCTTTAATCATGTCAACCGTTCACAACAGAACAAAGCTTACGACCTTTTCAACCTGTTGCACCGGGCGCACAATGTTTTTGTAGTGCCTCAAAGTTACAAACATGGGCTACACTCACATTCATTCGTAACACATCTACCGTCCTGAAGTTCTTGATTTCCAATAAATGAATAAATCAACCTAGATGTGCAAATGAAACACCTTTACAGACAGGTGGTTATAATCAATTCTACTTTTATTGGCATCGGCTGTAGATTTAAATCTGAAACATTTTTGAAAGCCTTTGAAGGACGACACATGCTGGCGCATTGGTGATTTCGCGCAAATTTGCTCTGATTCAAAAACGCACGCCGCATTTTGCAGGTCTATTTTCCAAGCAGCTGTCTATAAGAATTGGCTTTTGAACTAAGGACAGGTAATGGGGTTTAAATGTCCTCTATATGCAGAAGAACAAGTCTAATGAAAGTGTACTTGTGTGGAGGGAATTGACGAAGGGAGGCATTCGGCTTGTACCTCATCCCTACCAAATATCTGCCACGCACTGCGGATGTGTTCAGGAGAATAAGCAGGGAGAAGACACTGCCTTCAGTATTAACATTTCGAACCGCGCGGTTATCGTTGAACCGGATTTCGTTTCAACACACCTTACATTACCGCGAGTTTGGTCGAGTTATACCTGAATTTATTTTAGGGCACATTCGATATCCTCCATCTACAAGAGCAGGGAATATCGAAACCGGATTTTTGACCGAAACCGAAAGTCACCATCACATATACGATACGAAGTACCTGTAAGGTGGATCTGAAATTTAATGTAAGCTACAGTGGATCAGCTTTCGAACTCCACAGTGTACTCTCCAGTAACAAAGACACGATCCCCTTCGATCTTAAAATATATTATCCACGGACGAAATAAAACCCACAACTGCAAAAAGAAGTCGCACGCATTTGCCAGTTGATTCATCTAGGTATATATCTCAGGTCTGTATATTTCTCGAGTCGAAACAGTTTTCGATATCCAAAATGCAATCGACTTTGTTTTGTGTACTGAACAAGACTTTACACTCTCACTGAAAAACATAACAGGCCTCGGTCTACACCCTCAGGTATGACAATGTTTTCACTTTTTACAACGGTTGTCTGTTAAGACTACTTTAACAACGGGAAACCGCAGGATTGGTAATTGAAAGTGAATTTCCATCGTGGTCAGGCCACACGGTGGAAGTGTCGGTGAGCAATTTTCCAGGCAAACGGATCTAAACTGCAGTCACAACCCACATCCGAGTGCTGCATTATTTTGACCATGATGTTTGCAAGGTAAAGTCCGCATGACCCTCTATGGACGAGATATAACCTACGAGGCCATAAGAAGTTAAGTACCTGGCTATGATCAGGAACCAGTCAAAGGTCAACTACACTTGTTAAGCGGAATTCCGGGACAGTTGGATATTTATCAACCTTGCAAGGTTGCAGCTTTTTGGACCTCTCAATAAGAGCAGCAGCTGCAGCAGCAGCCAAGAAGTGCCAACACAGGTGTTAGTGCGTGTAAAAAGCGCACAGGGTCAACTTATAAAAGGTGCAAGAACTTTAATCTCCACCTTCTAACCTCTTTAGCTGTGTTAATTTGCACTGTGCATTTTATGTATGCTTCGATGTGTGCAAGTGAAATGTTTGTTAGTATTTATCATGTAATATGTGTCGCTGGCCACAACACAATCTCCTCACTTAAGAGATATAATATAGGGCCTGTTTGTGTCATGCGAATCCCAATCGCGAATAGTGATCAGTCGTTGGTTCGCGTATGGATCGTGTATGGAGCGAACCAGTGATGGTATGTATCACTGATTGCGATCCAGATTCGTGTGAAACAAACAGGCCCAAAGTTTACTTGACTTACGTGACCTATATGTGTTGCGTAGCTGAACGTGCTAATATCTTTCGGTGGTTGAGCTTCGTAAATGCAGTGTTAAAGTTCTGCCAAGCACCGTTACATGCTCAGCATGCGCATCTAAACAGTGGTTGAGAAACTACCATGCGGCTGGTGGCTCCGTAATATCGGAGCGGAAAAGAGAGCGAGAGTTGAGTTCGTCTCGCAATGCATTTATGGTCACCAAACGGTTAGATGAGATATGTACATGCAGTATGAAAAAAAGCTGAGTGCATGTACCTTCATGCAGTGTAGGCCGGACCATAGGATCGACGGCTTCAAACCAATGGTTCTACGGTAAGGCCTGCCCCGCCCCCCTGTAGTTCAACACACTTGTTTAGAGTGCACTTGAGTTCTCGCTTAACTTTCGAGAGTGGGCCCACAATCGAGGACAGGTCACGGCCTGGGTCATCCGAGGGGCCGGGACCGGTGAAGGCAGGATGCCAAGGACAAGTCCACAACTTCAGTCTTCCTTCCTCGCTGAGGTCAAGCGGAAACTGTACCTGATGGAACGCGCGCTGGGCAGTTTCTTTTCACCAGCAAGACGGCACAATGCACACCCCAGCAACTACAGTGTGGACTGCACCGTGCCAGGTCCATAATCTGAACACGTTCCAAAGCTTAAGTTAAATGGAATGGTTACCGCGCGCACCCTGCGGGGCTTACATTCTTTCTGCTATGAGTTCTTCCCATCTTACTTCATATAGCTCAAGTCTCTGCCATGTTCACACTTTGCCTCCACAAACATCTTAAGAGATATGTATTCAATTTAACTTAGTAAACAGTCTTTATTACAAGAACTCGAACAAGTAAACTGAATTATAAAACGTTTTCAGTATCAGTCGCAATGGTCAGGCTTAAATCATTATTACTTATGGAATTTGGGCATTTATAGTCAGCCGAAAAAAAAGTGGCTGAGGAAAACACAATGCTGCTACTGACAAAAACCGACGGCGTTTGCCCATTAAACACTGGGACTCGCTACACCCTTGCACCGATGGACATTGTGACTGGCACCGGTCAAGCACTGAAGAGTGGAGTCCCTGTGATTATGTAGAGCCAGGCTCAGTGCTCTAATGAGCGTGGGAATTCGAAAACTGTTGTGTACAGAAGGTTGCTGAATGAGACAGAACGCGACTCTTTTCTGCAAACAGCCTTGAATAATACGCTCCGGGCAATTTCAGGCATTTTAAGGAGGGCGGAGAGCACATAATGCTGAAAACAGGACTGGGGCTCGGGAACTCAATCGAAGCACACAAAGGCAAGGGGTAACTTTATTTTCCTACCTGTAAAGGTTAATTACATTGTACAGTATATACCGCGTTGATTGGTGCAGATGTGTACTTGTGGACTACCAGACAGGGCATAAAAACACTGAAAAAAGTCGATCAGGACAAATAAAGAGCCACTCAGTTGCAACTTTGGGTTGAATCTTCGTTCTTCAAAACATTTTTTCCTTAAAATAATCTTGAATTATAAGACCGGAATTAATTAGAAAAGTTAGCCGGAACTATCGACACGACCCCAGTTCTAATATTCAAATTCCTGGCTACTGAGAAACAACGTTAGTTTGCTGAAATGTGAGTTCCCTAACATTCCAATCAACAGGTTTCGCTGAAAGATAGAGTTAATTTTTTCTATTTAAAATGCAACTTTGGTCAGAGGTCGTCAGTGTACATTCAGCCCTGTCATGCCTGTTTTAAGATTTTCAGTACAACTGGTCGAATGATACCATCACACGATTGTTTCCCATTAAAGGATTGCGATGCTGCAGGTAAATAATACTGTTGAAAACACCGGCGGGAAGTTATCCTCTATGATAAGACTAACGACCGCAATGCGTCGCTATCGCCAGAGCTGGTATTCTCAACTCCTTCATTAGGTTAACACTGACAGAAAATGATCACTTACGAATGTATCTTAAGTACTGTTGAACCAACATTTGAGGGAATGAGGAAGAGCGAGAAGTAACTTGCATAAGAAACTCTACTCGCTTAGATGACAGGTGTCAAGTAAGCATGGTCGACCCATAACATTAGGAAGCGACGTCGACGTACCCTGCGCGACCCACACTAACGTTTAGAGTTGGGTTGGCTATACAGGGGCCCTGTTTGGAGCCTCCTGCATGGTTTCCCATTAAAATACGAATATACTTACCAGTATGAGAGTAAATACGCAAACAAGTAGAAAAAGCAGTGATGTTGAAGTGCAGAAGTTTATCAGCTGTCTTTGGGAAGTTCTCGCAGTTTTCACTTCGTTTGGTGGTACCAACCAATCTGAAACAACTTTCAATCGGCTGCGTGTTTTTATAAGGTTGCCGGAGGCACTACGAACGGTGACGTATGACCCCGGTGTATAAATAGAACACTCCGCTTCACTGTGCTTGGCTTCGGTGACCTCTGTACAGTGTATGTGTCGTCGCGTGCGTGATCTCTTTTGGCCAATCTCCATACGCAGGAATGCCGATTCCGGTTTCTGGGAAGAAGTGCGTCATATGACACTAATGCGCTGGTTGTGCACTAATGCGTTCCTTGGCTATGTTCACGGAAACGGATCTAAATATGAAGGTCAAAAATTCATGTTCTGAAAAGTGCCCAGCAGTTGTCTTGGCAGGAAACCGAGCGGTGGTGTGGTTAATTAATTAATGCTAATCATGATGATGTCATTATTAAATCACCATATCACCCGAAGCCAGATCCGCCTTCCGGTCACCCCTTCGTTCTCCGTGTGCGGTTGATACTAGCATACCCATCAAGGCTTCTTTTATTTGTTAGTTTGTAAGAAGTTTACTTTGATCAAAAAGGGACCGGTATGATGCGAGGTTGCCAAGGGAAAACACAGGCGGAGCACGGAGATTCACTTCACCGGCCGGACTCCTGTTTTCATAGGGTGTGGATTTTGCCACATGAGCTTCTTGGATTCTTATGTGAATACACGTGGAGAAAGGAACTATCAAATATGTCACACAGGTCATGCCTGTACTGCTTTCTGAAATTAGGGCCATTTTCAAGATATCCTGGGATTTCCCCCACAGTTTATAACAGACCGAAAGTCGGCGTGAATATTTCCGGGGACGGGATGCCTGTTTGTTCATTGAACTAATTTGATGTTAAGTGGAGGCATATCTTTATGAAATAATCAAATTTAAGAATTGAGGCTAAATCCGTAGTTTTGAGGGCGGGAGATAGAGCAGCATTTTCTTCCTGAATTTTGTCCATTCCTTTTCCGCGACTCACCCCCCGAAAGGATGGTACCGTTTTTTCAATCACCTGCATAAAAAGTAGCAACATATAACGAGTTCTAAATGGTTTACTGGAAAGGATTAGAAATCTAAATATCAGGCCAACGCAGGAGGGAAAGCTGTCTAACTTGAATCATTCATCCACTGACAAACTGGATTCTCTAAAATATAGATTATCATTTACACACGTTTGACACTATTTAAAGCAAGACGAAGAGTACAGGGTGTCCACACAAAAAAAGAAAACCGAGATAAAAATTACTGTAGTAGCAAAACTACTTTATATATGGGAAAGAGAAATATACCTCTAGAAAGGGCAGAAAACCTCTTTGCAATGGTATACAGCTTGTGATGTTATTGACACAGATGAGTGAACAAACTGGACCGGTGTTAAGGGTACTGGAATCGGCACTCTGACAAATTTGCATATGTGATTAACAAGGCTGGACCATGCAAGGGAGGGAGGGTTTAGGCCTGATACGATGTCGCCACGGATTCTGCTTTTTGGATCCGGATCACAAAATCACCTAGGAAGTCCCAAACACCGGGAAGATGACACTGTAAAGTCAATAATAGATGGTAGAACTTAATAAAATTCTTGTGGGACCAAAGGACACTGGTTACAAGTTCGCGTAAATTTGGAGCACAAAGGACAATGGACACAAGTCCGTGTAAAATTAAAACCTTTGACAATCTTAAATTGTGTATCCAAGGATTGTCAGAACTAATTGTCGTTTTTAGCTTGTGTATTTTCCGTGTAGTGTTTTGTCTGAGGTAAAAAAAAATTGAATTACACTGAGTCTGACACAACAGGAAAACTCCATCATCATGCACTATCTTGGATGATCGCGACAGTAATGTGTCGGAGTAGTTTACAGTTATATTTCCAGAAAATACTTAACCCGGATCCGTATTTCCAGTTTCACAGTAATGTAAATAGTTTCTTCCTCTCAACAAGTTTCAATTAATAACCAAGTTCCTTGTTGCATGGGATGTGGTATTGCATCATAGTACAGTAGGCTGTTAATCGTGACAAATCCGATGTCGGCTCAGTCGCGTGTCGAAGTTGGTCACGCAAGACGCGTTACCGCAGTGGCCACTCAAGCCATGCACGGGCGCTTCATGGATTACTGAAGATTATAGTGTCGTTGTGTGAGATTCAGTAAAGACCTTTTTCAAGCTGGATGGGAATTTTATAGAAAACACTTATTAAATAATATGGCAATGATCAAAGTACGTTTCAGTTCACTGCCCTTGTGTTTAAAATATTTACAACATTTGTTATCAGGTCGGGGACCAAACCACAATCTAGCGACGTTCCTAGTTTCTGCTTATTTCGCTAATTCAAGCGGCAATGACGTCATTTTCATCAGGTCACGCGATAAATATGTAATTTTCCCGCGTGATTCTGGGAAAATAACGAGATTTGAAATGCCGGCAGCCAACATGGCCACCGTTGCCGTTACCGTTGGAGTCTATGGCAAAATTGTTTTCGATCGCTATTTTGGAAAATCGCCACGGTAAACATAAAATCTGCCACGGTGAATCGATAGAGATTTATAATGGCAACATTTTCATGCATAAAGTAAACTTCGGCAAAACTTCATTTTTTTTCGTGTAAACGTTTTCATCGGCAGAGTTGGACTCGCCTGCCCACCGAATTCGACACCTCCAGTGCAAGATTTGACCGAAAAATCTCCTCGATCCGCTTTTATAGATACCAAATGAAAGGAAAGTTTCATAAATTTTGGATAGCATGTTTCCTGTAAAGTTGATCGATCAGAGGAATTTGTTTTGAAGTTCCTCGCCGATAAAGAGATCGATGTTATCTGCGAACCGTGATCTAAAAAATAGTTCAAAAATTACGTCATCGTTGCACAAACGAGCGGCGTATACATAGTCTGGCATGGTCGCTAGTTTGTGGTTTGGTCCCCGACCTGGTTATTGGTGGTTCACCGTACAGAAATTCCTACAAACTTTCTGTTCCCTTTTTTACCATCTGCACGTAGCTGTCATTCAAAGCCTTATTAAACTAAGGACGTTTAATTGATGGTAAGATTATGACTGCAGGACTTCAAAAATGTCCCACATTCCTTCCAAATCAGACTCATGTTCTTCAAACTGTCTAATATCAAATTTTATGGTTAGAAACCAAATTAGTTGTAACTGTAAAGCCTCGCGTTTCGTTCTGCGGTCATTGTAAAGACCTGGTACCGTAGACCTGATTGAGCTCGAGCCATTCACAATGTCACTCAGTAAAATTCGAGAATGAAATGTAAGTGAATAGAATAGGTGTGCATGAAATGTTTTGTTGAATGGCATTTTGAAATTTAGTTTTTCGTCTTTTTTTTGAAAAACGTACGTGGTGCACATATTTGAGAATAAAAATTGGTACATGTTCACATGGATAAGTTGTATTTTCTAAGGGATTGAAAGTGGCATCACGGAAACGGTCCTAGTCTTCCTTGAAGACTCTATTACCTCAGTTGTAGCGAGTCAATAATTTTTGTGACTCGGGTCGAGACGAGTCATTGTAACGTCGTGACTAGAGTCGAGTTGAGCCATTAGGCAGTAGGCCTATAGTCGAGTCTGGCTTACTACACCAGGTCACGCCACATCTTACTCGCGATAGTAAGAATACATTACATGAACATTATAAACCAGCAATGTAAGTCATTGCAAATATATATTTTTTCCTGAAGAAATTTTAGGGGGACTTCAGTCTCGTTAAGTTTCACTCGAGTCGGGTCCTCCGACGAGTGACTCAAGTCAAGTCCAGTCATTTGCTCGCAGTGTCAAGTCATTTCCCATCGGGAGTAGAGTCGAGCCGAATCGCCGAAAATCGTAATCCGAGTCAGACTCGAGTCGAGTCATTGACTCTGTAAAACTGATTGTTGTTGAAATTGTTTTGGAGAATAATCCCCATTTCGTACCCCCCGAATGGGAACCTGGATTTCACACGCCCCTATTGGGGGTGTCCATTGTTCCTCTACGTTCAAAATTGACCTGTTGATTTTTTTTCACACGATGTATTGCTGTGATTGTACCTGAGAGTTTGAGGCAAAATCATTTCTTTCGCTTGTACCATGTTTAAGAACCATTCACTGACCCCCTTCCATGGTAATCTCTGCTTGGAAACCTCGACTACTCGCGAAATGCTTGAGTAAATAATTGTGGAGGATGATTCAGTGTGGTTCAAACAGCCGACCTACGTCGTAGCGTTTTATCAATGAGGCGCATTCATTTGCCAATTATTCTTGGACAATGAGCTAGCACAGGTGATGACGCCAGACGCCTGCACGGACTCCCTTTTATGCCAGCGTATTTGACACAATAGGAGACTCCAGTTGACGGTTATAATTCCGCGGCGGCCATGCCAACGATTTGTCCTTTGCCCTCACTTTCTAAAGTTGTGACGTCTGCTCTTGAAAAGTCGATTCGCCAAGGGAGGTAATCGACGTCCAGGCAAACAGTATCTCTTTCAAACTATAGATCAAACACCTGCTCAACAATAAACGTTTCTTCCGTCACTTATATACGCCCCAGTTAAATTACTGTTTCGTGGATCAGTTTTGCTTTTGACGCACTAGTGCTTATCACTGGCCGACTTGTATATATTTTTTTTCGCGAGCCTCTTTGAAGTAGCTCAATATGGTAGGAATTAATGAATTGGGCTCCAATAATGCCAGACTTTTCTACAAGCATATGCCACCTTCCGAATTCTGCAAAAAAGGGGGAGAACTTTCGTGAGAATGCAGGTCGGGGCACAATTCTTGCTATGCACGATGTATCTTTGGATAGTAATCCCGTTAAATGAAAGTTACGGAGGCTGCCGCTGTGTTCCCAAAGTCTGTCCATGGAAGAAACAACTGCTCCCTTCCTCCCACGGGGTCTGTGCTAGTTGTGGCTTAGGACCACATTCCCCTTCTAACTCATGCTATCCTTGTATGACGTGTTAATATTGCCTGGGCCTGCCTGCAATTTCGAAAGGAGCCTGACTCGATGCTGCATCACATACATGTAGTTATACAGAAGATGTAATCTTTATCTATAGGGAATGATCCGAAGTCAGTAACATCTCAAAGACTCTATGTTTTGCCGTGAAAAAGGCTTTTGTCAAAGGTTAACCG